TCGCCCTGACATTATCATTAGCCCCCTTATATCTTATATAGCTACTCGTATCACTCTGTATATTCAATAACACTGTGATTCCACCCTTATACTCCGCATAACAACAACCAAACTACACAACAAATCATATGTGCTATCATCACAACACAGTTTATCAATTCGTATCACAAGTACCCATAGGCCAGAACCTTTCCAAAGATTCAACAATACCAATATTTTCAAAACAAATAGACCATGGATCAACACAACCTATATATAGAATCTTAATAACAATAGAATCAACTGAAAAGTAATTCAACAAGGAACAACACCGCTTCTTAAACACAACTTCTACTAGAATAGATTAATGACTTTTGATAACTTCAATTAATGTTAAGCAATTATGGAATAAATAATAATAACTTCAACTAAGGTTAATCAATTATGGAAGAAATAATAATAACTTCACTTAAGGTTAATGAACTACGAGACAGAAAATAAGGCAATAAAGAGGCAACAACTTCAATTAAGGCACATAAAAGTTTAATTTCCAGTAAGGGTAGAACATGAACCAATCAATTCCAAATAAGACACGTAAGGGTGAATTTTGTAAATGGAGGATTTAATATGCAAAAACAACTTCACATTTAAGGAACATAAGAACCTAAGAGCCCTAAACGGTTAAATTTTCACAAATAAGCCCGAGTACATACTTATCACCTCGTATACATGGCTTTCACATGGTACAAACAGCACAACCGACTCAAGTCCTAAGGAGTAGTTCCTCCACACAAAGTAAGGTAAGATACTTACCTCAAAGAAGCTAGACTGATTCTCTTAAATCACCTTCTCGAGTGAAACAATCTTTGGACGGCTCTAATCTAGCCAAAATAACGTCAAATCATAAATAAAACACATAGGAAATAATTTCGGATAATGAAGCTTTGATCTCTAATTAAAACTAAAAGTCAACCCAAAAGTTAACACCGGGCTTCCGCCTCAAAACCCGATAAAATCTACAAAACCCAAATGCCCATTCCGATACGAGTTCAACCATACCAAAATTACCAAATTTTTATATCAATTCGTCCATCAAATAATCATTTTACATTTTTGAATGTTTTTTCTCAAAATCCTCATTTTTCCAACTCAACCCACTAATTAAAAGATAAAAGAAAAGATGGAATCAAGAAATATAATAAATTTCAGGTGAAGAACACTTAACCCAATGATTTTCTTGAGAAACCCATGAAATGTCGCTCAAATATGATTCGTCTACATAAAAGTCAAAACTCCGGTAAACTCTTACCGCATAAGCTTCTAAAACAATAATCCTTCTTCCAAATTGACCCAGAATCATCCGAAAATAGAACTTGACTACACACGCAAGTCATAACATATAATATGAATCTTCTCGAGACCTTAATCCGCCGAACGGGACGCTAATTCTCAAAGTGACCAATCAGGCTCGAACATGCCAAAAACCATTCTAAAGTCATCACGTCATAGAGTGTACTCACCACACATATACTCGAGGGTGTTTCCATGTCACCCCAATCCACATGGTTAGCTCCGTTAGTTGATTTTTGACTTTGAAGCATGTCCGGAATATATTTTGGAGGTCTGTGGTAGATTTAGGCTTGAATTGGCGAATTGGAAATTTGGCATTTTTTGGTCGACAATGGAAGTTTTGATATCAGAGTCAGAATGGAATTTCGAAAGTTGAAGTAGTTCTGTTGTGTCATTTGGGATGAGTGTGCAAAATTTCAGGTCATTCAGATGAGGTTTGATAGACTTTTTGATCAAATTCGGAATTCGAAAGTTTTAAAATTCTTAGGCTTGAATCCGATGGTGATTTGATGTTTTGATGTTGTTTTGAGTGTTCCGAAGGTTGGAACAAGTTTTAATAATGTTATGGGATGTGTTGGCATGTTTGGTTGTGGTCCTGAGGGCCTTGGGTGAGTTTCGGGTGGTTAACGGACCAATTCTTGGTTTTGAGAGTTGCAGATTTTGCTGGTTTCTGTTGCAGATATTTTTGTTCATCAAGTTCGTGGAGGGTTTATCGCATTCATGAAGGGTGTCTTCTGTAGTAGTGATTTTGTTCTATTTGTTCGCAAAGGAGAGGACACGAACGCGAAGGTTAAGGCAGCATGTACATCGCGGACGCGTGATTGGAGTCGCGTTCGCGAAGAGGAGTGAGGCCCTTGGGGACCCCAGGTACTTGGTCTATGCGTTTGTGATGTTAGGGTCATGTTCGCAAAAGCCTGGGCTGGCGAAGCATTGTGTTCGCATGGCAGTGTTCACGTTCACGAAGAGTAAAGTGGAGAGGCAGTATAATTTGGTCTACGTGAATGCGAGAGGGCGGTCGCATTCGCGAAGAAGGAAATAATACCTGGGGCAGAATGTTTATATAGTGCCTTCATGATTTTTAGCCCATTTTCCACCATTGTTGAGCGATTTTGAAGCTTTTTGAGAAGGATTAAAGAGGGAATCAAAAGGAAACACTTGGAGGTAAGATTTTGGAACTATTTTTTTGGCAATCCACTAGGAAAGTGCCTAGGGTTAGTTTTTTATTTATAACAGAAAAGAAAATACATCAATTAGGAAAAGTACAAATAAGGGGGACAATAACACCGGTATTGTTACCCATATAACACAAACCGGGCTAACCTTATTGTACTAATCCTCTTAATGCTTGTCAAAAAACAAACTGAAAGTTAGGTGGTCTAACTGTATGAAAGAAATAAAATTTGACGCGTACATAGCACCTATTATCAATATCGAGTAAGTTCAACATTGATATCACATATGATCTAAAATAATAATTGAAAGTAAGAACTAGTCCTAGGTAATAAAACCTAAAACAGGTCCAGATATGCATCTTCAGTTGATTACACCCAGTAGCCACTGTCCAGAACTTATGACGTTCAAGACCCTCGTGCCTTCGATCATTGTCTATCCCTTGAATTTTGTTCATTATTGAACTGATTTCTGGTAATATCCTTACATGTGCTTCATCCTGCTTTGTCCTTCTACCTTGTTGCATTGATATGTTAGCCCATTGTGGTCAATAATTACCCGAATGTTGCAGATAACCTTGACACATGACCCGCTCCATTGTATAAATTTGGACCTCATTTTTATGATAGTACCACATGTTCCCAGCTGGCCTCCTTGTATAGTCTGTTAACTGTATTGTTGTAGTTGAAATCTGCTTCAGGGGGAATTTCCACAACACATCCCAGTTACTCATAGATCCTTTCCAAAACCTTCCTCTCATGCCCAAAGCTGCCCGTATGAGTGTGTTGTTTTTTGCCTTTCTTTTCTTGTATTGTCTCACTCCTGCAGACTATTGTATAACAATCAGTCACACAACATGCATCTTCCTGCATTTTCAAATGATTCATCCTCATGATACTCAATTTGGCCATAAATTTGCTGATTTTCCAGTTTTGCGATGTAATCCTACTCCAACCTCTCATGCTTGTGCTTATTTCTTTTCCTTCCTCATGGGATTGAGCACTTAGTGCTAATACCACCCAATGAGGTCGTATTAGGAGACAAGGCATGAGTATATTAACATTTCCTGCAAAAAAGAAAACATGGTTAGTGCAAACATTAGTCAGTACCCTCTCTTCTTTACAGATTCGATGATATTGGCTTTTGGTGTTGCCCAACTCCCTCTCAACTACCCATTCCTTATTATTTGCTTCCATCTTCCCCTTCCTTTCTTTGTCAAACTCATAGCTGCTCCATACCTCCCTCAAAGCTATCTCGAATCCACCATAGTTTGTTGCATTTAGAGATACTGTTGCATTAGCATTCCTGCATTGTGCATGTTCATTATAGCTGCCCACACAAATAGTAGACTTTTTTGTTCTATTATTTCCAGATATCATTTGTGGAGAGAGATATTTGCATTTAAAAGCATTCTTGAAAGTCTCAAAAAATTGGGTCGTGTATGTTGTATTGTGTCCCACACACATGTCTTATACTAATATGCTCAAATTTTGCCCCATTTTTTTGACAAAATAAATCTCTCCAGTGCTCTCATCTAAAATCCCAATGGTCCATATATCACTGTGTGCCATGCCCCCTGTTAATGACATGCACGCTTGTTTGTTTAGAGGCATTATTTCCTCCTCCCAAAGTGGTCCAATGTTGTTAGTTTCCCTACGAAGAAGGCGTGCGTTAGAGCAATCCAAAGCTTTTAACCAAAAGTAACGCAAAATTTCCTCTGGCCAACTGAACTTTATCAGACATTTGACTATCTTTTGTCCAGTTGTCTTGGATATCACGTGATGGCTGTGTGAAGCTGCATATGAGACTGAGCCATTCCATAGAGATTCCCAGTATTCGTTTCTAAATCTCTCCATCTCCAATTGAAACATGCTTTGTCCTCGGGCCTCATGAAAGTAGAAATTATTCAGCCCATTTTTAGAGCCAAAAAGCTTTTTCTTTCATCCATTGATTCGTGTGTTCTCCCCCATGTGAACCAGCCTTGCATACTTAAGAAGCACACTGTCCCATATTTCAAGTTGGTGTGATGACCAGCCCATCTTTTAAGAATTATGTTCCCAAGCTTTATTCTTGAACTTGTCAAAAGTGCATACACAGTATCAAAATCTGTGTCGACATCCATGTGCAGTTGAGCATCGATCAGTATTACCACTTCATAACTTTTTATGTTTTGTTGCACGTTAAGTTGAGTTAATTCTCCAAAATCTTTGGCTTCCTATAACTTGATTTTTCTCTTTGATATGCCAGTGTTACCTTTTAGTGTCCTTCTAGTTGATTGAATGCATAGCATTGATACTACCATCTGTAGTTCTTCAGTAAGGTAAGACATTATCATATACCTCTTTCCAGTTTGAGAACTAATCCTATCCTTTTCGGAAGTACTGCTAGCATAAGAGAGAGATTGGATTCAAGAAACACTAGAACTCCTTCTCTGTCTGTCAGTACTAGTATATTTTGTGATCTGATTTTGGTAATAGCACTGATCCCCTTTGTTGCATCCTTTAGCTCCTTGAAACCTTCACTCTGATATACGGGCATTGTGATTTATCTTCATTTACTATCTTCCTGCTTTGATTGTCCAGATCTCTAAAAGGATACGCTTCAATAGGACCAAAATCCAATGCATAGTTTGCTAGGTGATCTGACAGCTTGTTCCCTTCTCTGAAAATATGTGATATTCTTAGGTTGCATCTCTCCTTCAATCTCCTTATTTCCTCCACTTGTTCCACAATGTTCCATGGAGGTTTCCATATGCCATCTATTATATTTTTCATTAACAACGAGTCAGTTTGTAGCCATATGTTAGAGTAATTCAATGACCTGCTTATTCTCAATGGCTCCACCATTGCTTCAGCTTCCACTTCATTGTTTGAGCCCTCATTAATTTCCCAACCTACAGTATACTGAACATCACCATATTCATCTCTCAAGCACACCCCAATCGAGCTTCTTCCCGGATTGCCTCTAGATGCACCATCAGTATTAGCTTTAATCCATCCTTCCAATGGAAACTCCCAAGGCACTTTCTCAAATTTCAGCTTAGGAGTATAATTCTCGAGCACCAATAACATGTCCTGCCATTTATGAGGAACATGCAGTCCTAGTTTTCTCAGTTTTATGAGTGATTGTAATGTGTTGGACACCTGATAAATAACCCGACTAACAGATACAACTTCACCATGTTTTAAGATATTTCTCCTTTTCCATAATTCCCAACAGATACACGAAGGTAGGGCTTGTAGTATTGGTTTAATTCTTGGCAATACAGCTGCTGTCCAGCACTTTGTTATTGCCTGATGCAAACTCAGACCCTCCGTTGCTATTCCTGCCATGTTTAGGAAATATTTCCACACTGTCCTTACTGCGTTTGCTGTATAGAATAGGTGTGTTAGTGTTTCTTCATTTGGTTCTGCACAAAACCAACACTTAGATGCCATTGAATAGCCTAATTTGCGCATGAAGTCATCAAGAGGCAGCTTTGCTCTCCATATTTTCCACATAAAGAAAGCAATTTTAAAAGGCATACCTTTAATCCAAATCAAACAATATGCTCTTCTAGGATCCTCCCTCCTCCTTAAATAATCCCATGCTGACTTTACAGTGAAATTACCCTTTGTTTCTAGCATCCAAAAAGGAACATCTAAATCATTTGATATAACTGGAGGCTTAACTCTTTCAATTATATGTGTTACAAACTCCTCTGGTAAGACCTCCAATATCCTTTCCACATTCTATCGACCATCCTCACCCACATCACTAACATTGTGTATGTTATCATCAATCGCAAAATCTGCAGGAACAAGAAAGTATAAAGCACCCAGCCCTGTCCAATTGTCATACCAGAATAATGATGAGCCCATTCTAGGTTGCCAGAAAATTTGATGTTCAATTAATTCTCTGCATTCAATCATTTTTCTCCAGACATGAGAACCTCCCTTCCAGGGCACTATCACAGAATTCATTTTTTTACAATTTTTCTGGCTCATAAAGGAACTCCAAAGGCTTGGTTTAGTCCTGAAAAACCACCAAAGCTTGCAAAAAAGTGCCTTAGCTACGTCATGTAGAGATCTAAATCCAATGCCTCCTTCTTTATATGGCATACACATATTGGTCCAAGAAGCCCAGTGCCTACTAGTACCACCCACAGAACTACTCCAAAAGAATTGTGCAAACATCTTATGGAGCTTGTTAATAACATAGTTAGGAGGATTGATAGTGGATAACAAATGAATGGGCATGCTCTGTAAGACATTAGTTATTAAGACTGCTCTACCCAAATGGATAGAAGTTTACCTTTCCAGGTTTGCAATTTGTCAAGGACTTTGGTCAGCAATCCTTGATAGTGTTCCATCTTCCTCCTAGCATAGAAAATTGGGCATCCCAGATAGGTGAAAGGGAAGTCCTGCCTACCAATTCCAGTAGTCCTCTCCACTTTCCTTACTACTTCTTGATCTACCAAGTGATGAATATATACAGCAGATTTACCTTTATTAAACCGCTGTCCCGATGCATTTTCATATACTTGTAGGATCTCCATGATAAGTCGAAGAGAAGTTGCATCAGAAGAACTGAAGATTATGGTGTCATCTGCGTATGCAAGATGATTGATTTTTGGGCTCCATTTAGGCATTCCAAAGCCATAAAAGTAGAGGTTTGTATGCAGCGAATTCAATCCCCTTGACAAAGCTTCAGCAGCCAGAATAAAACGTGTCGGAGACAATAGATCCCCTTGCTTTACTCCCCCCAATGATTTGAAAAAACCATGTGGCTGTCCATTTATTAGAACTGAATACCAATTATTTCCAATCAAATCAAATACCAACCCAATAAACCTTTCAGAGAATCCCACTTTCCTCAGCACTTTAGTAAGAAATAACCATGAAAACCTATCATATGCTTTCGTCATATCGAGTTTGATCACAACATTAGGACCAGCTCTAGTTCTGAGCCTCATATCTGTGACTATCTCCTGAGTTAACAAAACATTTTCCATTATGCTTCTATCCTTCACAAACCCTACTTACTCCTCTANCTCCTCTGATATTAAGCCTGGTAATATACCCACCATTCTGTCATGAACTACTCTTGAAAAGATTTTGTTGACAAAATTGCTAAGACTTATCGGGCGTAAGTCTGAAAAGGTAATGACTTCTTTTTTGGTAACAGGACTAAATTTGTGTGGGTTGCACTTTTGGGAAGTTGTTGTCCACAGAAGAAGGATAATACCATCTGCACAATGTCTTCACCTATAATCTCCCAGCAAGATTGGTAGAAAAGTCCAGTAAAACCATCTGGCCCTCCTGCTGAATCTCCATTCAACCCAAAAACTACATGCTTGATTTCCTCTCGAGTGGGGTTGTTGTTTAACTTCTCATTTTGTTCCATAGTTACCATGGATGGGATATGATCAATTATGTGAAAAGTTGTTGGAATTGTATCTTCCCTGAATTGCTCCTGGTAGAATTTTACTGCTTCTGCTGCAATCTAATCTTCCTCTTCCACCCAATTTCCAAGGCTGTCTTGAATTCTGGTGAGTTTTAATCTTTTCCTTCTTCCATTAACTTGCGCATGAAAAAATCTTGTGTTTCGATCACCATCCTTGAACCAAGCCATTCCGGCCTTTTGTCTCCAAAATTGTTCTTCAAATTCCAAGTATTTTATCATTTCAGCTTGAACCTTATGCAACCTTTGTCTGTTCATTTGAGTAGGAGAAAGCTCAAATTGTCTTTCATGAACTAGGACCACTTTTTCTAGGCTAGCAATTTTCTGAAAAATGTCTCCATACGTAGCTCTACTACAAGTAGACAAGGCTTTTTTAAGCTTCTTTAATTTATGATTAAAGGTCACAAAAGGATTAGCAGCAAAGTCAGCCTTCCAATTTTCCTTTACCAAATCTTTAAATGATGCATGTTGTACCCAGAAGTTAAGAAATCTGAATGATTTCTTGATAGTGAGAGACTCAGTATCACATTTTAATAGCATAGGAGAATGGTCAGATCCAATTTTAGACAAATGTGACACCTCCACCCCTGGGAAAGTCTGTTGAAATTCTATGTTACCAAGACATCTATCCAGCCGCTTGAAAAAACAGTCTTCCTCCGATCTACCATTCCGCCATGTGTAAATGCTCCCTTTGAAGCCCAAATCAGTCAAATTGCATGTATTGATGCAGTGCCTAAAATCATCAACCTCATTTAATGATACAGGTAATCCACAAAATTTCTCCTCCTCATCCCAAATTACATTAAAATCACCTCCCTCAAGCCATGGTACTGTCATGTCAGAAGCCATTGCATAGAGTGAATCCCACAATTCTATTATTTCAATAACATCACATTTTGCATATACCAATGTGAGAGTAAGCTCGACATATGTTTCTGTATGGAATAATCTCAGTGTAATCTGTTGTGTCGTGTTATACAAAATATCCACATTAAAAGCTTCATCAATTAAAGCCCAAATTTTGTTTGAGACATTCACTACTGCTTGGGCCAAGCCTATCCATCTTTTGTAGTTTTCCATCTTGTTAGACTGTTGCATAGGTTCAAGAATCCTTATAAATTCAAAATGATGTTGTCTATGCATTGTGATCAATCTTTCAAATGTCTGCATTGTATTAACAGACCTCACATTCTATATAATTGCCTTCATCATTGATTTTTGGATTTAGAAAGTGTTCTTCTACTTTGTATACCTCCTGCTGGGACTGTGAAGGTTTCTTTTGCTTGTTTTTTCTTTACTTTAGCTGCAGATTTCACCCGCTCAATGTGCCTAGGTGATAAATCACCCTGCTTAGCCACATTGAGGAAGTTTTGTGTTGTTGACTCCTCATCCAAATCCCTATTTGTTTGATCAATTGGTAAGTCAATTTTCTTTGTATTTTCAGAACAAATTATATCTGTACTTCTCTTCACATTTTTCAGCTTTTTATTTGCAGAGCTATTTACATGTTATAGCTAGCCAGAGTTCAATGTAACAGTATCCTTTTCTACATTCAGCACAACAACCTTCATAGTTGTTTCTTGCTTACCTGGATCCTTAGCAATGTTTTTTGTTTTAGCAGTACTATCTTCTGCACTCTTTTGTTTTGATTTATTCTTCTCAGACTTGTTGATACCTGCTATTGTTCCACCAGGGTCCTCATCATTACACAATCCTGCTTTATCATGGATTAATTCTGCATTTGGAGAAAAGTGGATTTCAGCATTTTGTGACTCTTTGTTTTTTGCGTTTACACTTTGATCCTCTTCGTTGTTTGTTTCCCCTCCTGTTTCCTTGTCGCTTGCCATTCCATCTGGAATTTCTCCCTCTGCTGCATCTTTCTCAGGTTGGTTTGACTACAATTTATTTCCATTCCACTTTATTTTATCAATGCTTTTAAAAAGTTCAAAATCAGTATCTTCCATTTGGTCATTGTCACTGGTTATCTCCTCTTCCTGCCTTGTTATTGCATCAGTTGTATTTACTTTATCTGCATTTTGGGCCAACTCTACATCTACCCTTGTGTCTTTTGTTGGGATCTCTTGACAAGAGGTGTTTACACCTACCACACTATTAGGATAATTTTTCTGTACCCCAGCGGGTGTCAATTCCCCATTTCTAACATCTTTTGTTCTAAATGCTGCAAGATTAAATGACTGGGCTGTATGATTCATTCCTTTTCCACCTCCAGTAGCATTACAACTGTTAACAGCGATTGAAGCCACAGTCTCATTATTGTTTGGATTAACATCATGAGCATCTGGGTTCAAATTTCTAGTTGAAGCATTATCCTTAGGTACAAGATCGTTTTGACAAGGTGTCTGCTCCACTACATCTAATTGATTGAATTCGTTAACTGCACCTTCTTCAACCTCCAACAGAGAAAATTTGTTTGTTTTTGTACCTATTGTGTTGCTTCATTATTGACCGGAACAATTTCCTTCCCAGTAGTGTCGTTTGCTTCATTATTCTCACTTTGTTTACCCTTGTTCTGTCCTCTGTTATTTCTAACTTCCTTCCATTGATGCTTGACATTACCTACAACTTTTCCACTAGTAAGAATCATCATCGGGGCTTTGTGTATTTCATTTTCATTTTGACTTTGAACCACAGCTTCTTTAGCATACTTTTGTTTGTCTTTTTTGCTTTCCATTAATTCCAGGTGAATTCTCCAACATTCAAACATGTCATGTCCTTGTATCTTGCATTCTTTGCAATACTTTGGTAGGTACTCATACCTAATAGTAACCCATTCAGTTCTAACAGTTCCTGACATTTCATTGAGGATGTCCATTCGCACCTTCGTAGGAAGATTATCAAGGAGATTAAGTAAAACCTTAACTTTGGCACAACTTGGCCTTGTCTTATTAATCATGGCCAAATCCAGGTGAAGTGGCTTTCCCACAGCAAAAGCCAAAGAAAAAAGGAATTCTTTAACAAAGTATGTTGGTAACAAATTTGGAAACGAAATCCACGCCATTACCTTAGGTGTTTCCTCTCCTGCTTTGAATTTAGCATCATATATCAAGGTTCTCAGTTGGTATTCCTGCCCATATTTGTCTTTAACATAATACACACCCTTCGACGAAAATTCAACAAAGTCTTGCCATAACGACAATCGTATTAACACATGTTTGTCACAAAGGTAGCCTATCTTACAGTCTCCTTTAATTCCACATTGTTGCGGCACAATTCGTCTTAATTCAGCAATTTTTGGCCACCCATATGAGAATTTACAAACTACTGCATGCTGTAAGCCTTCGATCATGTTCATTCGATCAATTTCTGCTTCAGTAAAAGAAACCATTGGTTGTCCTTGTAATATGACTACTTGACGCTGTGGTATAGGATCAATAGTAGACTATTTTGTCGCTGATCCTTGCCCTGCTGCATTGATCACAGCTGGTTTCAGGATATTCGAAAAATCTAGGGGCTTGGGTATTGATGTAATGTTGTTGGGGATGGTGGAGGTTGCTTGGGGTGGCTGACCAGCCATTGTTGCTAGCTGGTCGCCGGCCAGCTTGGCCATGAACGACCAAGAAGAAGCTGCTCTCAATGCTGTATTTCTGAAGGTCGCTCAAATGCAAGTGAACGACACAAATCTTCCACAGTCCTACAAATATGTATTTCACCCACAATCCATATAGAGATCACATCGACAATACAATAAGTTAATAGCGCTGAATATTATTGCCAAAGAACTGACAGTAGCAAAAAAGAACTGTCTGCTACAGTAACTTGCAGAAAAGAAATTAAGATCTATAAAAATTGGCTATAGATCTGACATTGAAACCAATTGGATGTTATTCGTAAAGAAAATATGTATCTTTTTACACCAAGTTTGGTTAATTCCACCACCGGCCGCCGGAGTTATGACCGGAAAATGATGACAAAATTACTATTCCATGTTTGGAACTTAATACTCGATTCTATGGTGATTTCTAACTAATTAGACATGAAATTGGTGGGATTTAAAGCCTAAAATTTGGGGAATTACGGCTTGAAATTGGAGAGTGAAAATTTGGGATTTGAGAGGCCATTTGAGGTTCAATTTTGATGTTCTTCGCATGTACAGACTCGTGGGAGGATAAGGATTCTAGTGATGTGATTTTTATCAAAATCTGAGACGTGGGCTGGGATCAGTTTGGCCAATTTCGGGATTTTTGATGTAATTTGATTATTTTCGCTTGGACTTTGATCATTTAACGCATATTAATGGTATGAATCTGCTTTTGGTTAGATTCGGAGCATTTGGAGGACAATTCGAGAGGCAAGGATATCACGGGCTAGAGTTTGGACCGGATTGAGGTAAGTAATGATTATAAATGTTGTCCTAAGGGTATGAAACTCCAGATCTTATATTGCTGTGCTACTTTGAAGTGACGCACATGCTAGATGACGAGCGTGGGGTCGTGCACTATTGGGGATTGTGACTTGGTCCATCCCGTACGACTGTTAAGTCACATATTCCATTGAAACTATTTGATATCATCGTGTTTTTGGAAAGTATTACTATATTTTGGGCTTATTTCCATATTTGGGCCTCGTGCCAATTGTTCTGAAACCTTACGGGGCTTTTTACTACTATTCCTCACTGTTTTGACTTAATATTTGTACTCGGTCATGTTGTATTTCACTGTTTGCATAACTCAGCCGTATTTACTTCGTTTTTATACTTTAAATGATATTTTGGGCTGAGCATCATGTTTTACTATTGCCGAGTGGCTTGAGAGGTTTCTCTCTGAGTGAGGCCGAGTGCCTGATTAATTTATGCCACGAGGTGGCTTGTTGTTATGAGGCCGAGGGCCTGACTTATTAGGCCATGAGATGGCTTATTCTATAGGAGCCCCTCCAGAGTCTGAACACCCCCAGTAAGCGCGGGTACCTAGTTTGAGTGATGTGAT